ATATGATCCTATACCTAGAAAACCCAAGAGACTCAGTCAAAAATCTACTGGAATGAATTGAGAGATTTAGCATTATGGCAGGATACAAGATTACTGTCCAAAAATCAATTGGATTCCTGTGCACCAGCAAAGAGATTGCTGAAAAAGAAATAAGGAAATCAATACCATTTACAATAGCTACCAAAAAAAAAAATAAAATACTTGTCAATATACTACAGCAACCATGTCTGAATTATCTTCAGCAAAATTTTACTTGTGTGTGATATTAATGATACTGTTTGATGATTTCCACATTCTGTTCGATCACCTTTCTTTAGAATGAGTACAAATATTGATCTCTTCCAGTCAGTTGGCCAGTGTGGTGGTTAAGTTTGTGTGTCAACTTGGCTAGGCTTGGTTTACTGGCTGGGCATCTGGATGCAGAATTCCCCATGAGACTGGTAATCAACACCATGGTGGAATCATGTGGTCTGCTTCCCATATATAAGAAACAGCTTTGGGAATGGTCTCTAGCTTATGGCATGCTTGAACCCTGCAAGTAGCTGTGTCGTTGTTTAGCAGCCTGCCATGCTCTGCCGATCTTGGAACTTTCGATGGACTTGAATTAATGGCCTGCTGTGTGGTTTGGTAACATTGGGACTGTGCCGTTTTATTTGTCAACCTTGGGCTTGTTAGCCTCAGCAGCCAGTAGCTGCCTAAGTGAAGAGATGCCTCTAGCTTCAGTGGTCCAGGAAGCAAGAGGCAGAGCTGAAGCCCAAGGTCAAGGGGCTTTCACCCAGCCCCTAGAGCTTGGAACTTGGACTTCCAGCCTCCCGAACTGTAAGAGAATAAACTCCTATTTGTTCAAGCCATCTCATTTGTGGTATTTTCTCGTCAGAGCAGTACTAGGTAACCAGAACCACCAGGTAGCTATCTTCCAAATTACTTGGCATAAACAAGTAAGCGCCTCCAGCACTGCATCCATTTGTTGAAACATCTCAATAGGTATTATGTCAATTCCTGGATCCTTGTTTTTCACTAATTCCTTTGATACCATTAGTTCTTGATCATATGCTACCTCTTGAACTAGCTGTACATCAACCAGTTCTTTTTTATGCAGTGACTTTGTGTATTTCTTCCATCTTCTCTTCATGCTTCATGCATCATACAATATTTTGCCCACAGAATCTTTCAACACTGCAACTTGAGACTTGAACTTTTTCTTCAGTTCTTACAGCTTCAGAAATGCTGAGCATGTTCTTCCCTTTCAGTTTTCTAACTCCAGGTCTTTGCACATTTCATTAGAATACTTTACTTTGTCTTTTCAAGCTGCCCTTTGAAATCTGTTCAGTTCTTTCATTTCAGCATTTCTTCCATTTGCTTTAGCTGCTCTATACTTAAGAGCAAATTTCAGAGTCTCTATGTATGGTATATACATACACTATTATTCAGCCATTAGAAATACTGTGGGTTTCTTTACTGACATGGAGACAAATTTACAAAGGGATTGTAAAACTATTTTGTAGTGTAAATCTATTTTGAAAATATTAATCATCTGTCAACAAGTGTAAGAAATCAATGCTTTCCTCCACTCTACCAATAAGCATCCAGAAATGGAAATGGGAATTAAAATATCTCATTCACATCAACTGACAAAACCCCTAACACACTGAAGAATAAATTTAACAAGAAAGAGACAGGATCTACCTGAGGGGAAAAAATCTGAATAAATGGAAAAATACACCATGACAATAGATAAAAGAATGTGGTAAAATTTCAATCAGAATTCCACAAGGGCATTTCTCTCTCTCTGGTTGTGTGTGTGTGTGTGTGTGTGTGTGTGTGACTATGACTGAAAACAGCCAAGAAAAGTATAAAAAAAGAACTGTGGCTGAGTGTGTTTGAAAGGGAGAATGACTTGCCTTACCAAAATATAAGAATGTTTTATCCTGTCTCTGAAATCAAATCAAAATAGTAGCAGCAGGGGAATGGGAAATAGATTAGTGGAGCAGAATAAATAATCCAGAAAAACTTCTGGATGAGGAAAAGATACCATAAACAAAGCCAACAATCAAAAGATGCTCAAAACCACTAGTAGTCTGTGAAACAAACTACTGATATATTCTTTGATATAGCAATCCCATGTCTGAAAACTATCACATAAAAATGAAACTGCCAGTACATAAGGATACCACAACCAAACCCACCACCATGAGGCTATGAGTTGATTCCAACTCACAGAGACCCTATAGGATGGAGTAAAACTGCCCCACAGGGTTTCTATGCCTATAAATCTTTACAGAAGCAAACTGCCTCATCTATCTCTTGTGGAGCAGCTGGTGGGTTCAAACTACCAGTCTTTCATTTAATAGCCAAATGCCTTAACCACTGTGCCACTAGAGCTCCTTAGTATATGAGGATACATACAAATAGAAATTAATTATTGCAGAATGGTTTACAGTAGCAAAACATAATGGAGACAAGTGCCCATCAACCAGGGAACGGTTGAACAAAGTACGGTATATTCACACCATGGAATACTATGAAGTTATTCAAAGGACTATTAGAGCTATACTGGTTGATTTGGAGGGACTTCCAAGCAGTAACATTAAATGAGAAAAGCAAGATAGAAGAAAGTTTGCCTATGATTTCGTTTTTGTAAAACAGTGAAAAACAATGAGCAGAACACACCTTCTTACATAAACAGTCATGTATGTTCTTTTCTATGTTTGGAGAAAAACAATGTCTTTATAGCCTTATAAAATAACACTACAGTAGAAGCTTTCTTAACCAACTATTGCAACCACCGTATTAATCAATGCTCCTGATTCCCTCTGTAAAATATGCCAATTAATGCCCATGGAATTCTAAATATTAATGGATAACAGGCTACTATTTTGAATGATAATAATTAACATCACAGAAATAGCTAACAATGCTTGCAATGTGGCTGCCACTCTTGCGCTTTACATATATATAAGTATTTTTTTTTTTTCCCCACAACAAGCCTGTAAGTACCCATTTTATAGATGAAGAAATGAAAGCACAGATATGATAAATTACCTGTCCAAGTCACAAAGCTAGTAAGTGTTAGAGTTGGGACTGAAATGCAGATAGTTTGGTCCCAGCTTCCAGTCTTATAACCACTCGTATAGTGTCTCTATGAGATTCTGCTCACCAGCTGAAAGGTGTTACTTTCAGAAGACTTTCAAGAATCAGATGAATTTGTTTCTCACACCTGTTTACACCATCTATACTTGTTACTACAACTGTGTACTATAATTATGCATTACATAATAAGAACTGTTCCTATGAAAATTAAATTGACTGTTTTAAAAAGTCTCAATTAAGGAATGTCACCAAAAAGTACTTCTGTCAAATTATGTGTAGATAAAAAATATAAATTAAAAAAAAAAAATTATAAAGATGTAGGCATCAGTCTCTATATTACTCAGTTTCTGTTCCTCTTTATAGAAACCCAACTTGGCAATCATGGACAATACATTATGGATTCAGTTTATGGAAGAGCAAAAAACAGTGGAACACTGAGGAAAGTTTATGCTCAAATATCAAGAATATTGAATAAATATAACAAATTTGTTTTAATGTTTAGCTATAAAGATTTTCATTTTTAGTGATCCCTATTCTTTTTGATTAGCCAATTTACTTACTACTGGTCCCAATCATTTTGGGTAAGAGGGCTTCTACTGTATTTTCTCTGTAACAAATTCACAAGCTTTAAGTTAGTGGAGCAAAAAAGACTTGAGAAAAATCAAACTTGTTTTATTACTAAGCTACAACTTTTCAAAAGTCAAATTTGAATTTACTTTATGATCCTTACCCATCTTGTGTGGGTGGGTACTCGCACTCTTGTCCTTTGGGAAATACACCGTTAGGATACAGGTCACATATTGGAACTGAGGGAGGGTCTGTCTGAACTTTTGCTGTGAGATACAAATAAAGTATTAACTTCTGTAGTTTTTTAAAAAAAAAAAAACAGTTTACATTATAGTTTTCTCAGTTCCTAAAGATTGTTAATTAAGTTTTGGTCTTAAGAACCCCCTTGTATCTCCTTATAATTCAAAACAGAAAACACTTCACTCTGCGGGTCATCATCTTTCTGATTATAGCTGCTTGTAAATAGAAATATTCAACTCCTCGAAACGCTAGTACATATTCAAATACTATATGCCTTGAGAGAAAGCACACTCATAATGTTTTCTTCTCCATTCACCATACTGGGTATGGAAGACCATGAAGACTGGCTTTCACAAATAAAAAAATCAACAAGAAAATAAGAAGAGTCCTATAGCAATAAAGAAAAACTATAAACCTATTGTTGTTGTTGTTTGCCGTCGAGTCAAACCCGACTCATAGCGACCCCTCCTTGGGTTTCCGAGGCAGTATCACTACGGAAGTAGGATTGCCCAACCTTCCTTTCGAGGAGTGGCTGGTGGGTTTGAACCGCCAGCCGTCTGGTTAGCAGGCAAGTGTCTTAGCCACTATGCTATTAGGTATTAATAAGAAAAACTACTACTTCAAGGGTATATTAGAAATGAAAGTTAAGGGTATACATACTAATATGAAAAGAACTTAGGTAGCCACGTGCAAATTTCCAGAAACCTGAAAAAGTTATAGTACTTGGTAAACATTTTAGGATTATTCCCTCAAATTATTTCGAAAGACCCCGTATTCCCCAATATACTTAAAAAAAAAAAAAAAAAAAACTATCTAGAGATTTTTCTTCTAAAAATACTTAAAAGCACTTAAGAATTAGTTAGATAGTTCTTACTATACAAAGATCTGCCTTTTAGAAACAACTGCTGTATCCAAGGAATGCCAGGAAGTTATGTCAGAGTTAATTTATGTAACAGTATGTTACTTTCAATGTGTTCCTGAAGAATGTACCAACTACTGAGTTGGTTATAACTGGTTTTATATTATGGATTTTTGTCTTAAATTCTAACATACAATATCTTGCTTTTTATTCTGTAGTGGGGAAATAA